GTGTACCGTCTCGTCCATTTTTAGGTATAGGAATTATTACACCACTTTTCCATGTTTTCGGAATTTTATTATTTGTGATGCAGTTGTTGATTTCAAGAAGAATGAGTTTGTGGGTTTCCTGGGTTAAGCTTTTCAGGAGTTTTACCTTTATTTTGCCTTTTCCCGGTGCTGTGTTTTTGATATGTGATAGGGCTTCATCGTACTCTGTGTCTGTGATTGGTTTATAAATATAGTTTGGTGAGTTGTTAAAGTAGTTCAAGTACCATTCATTGATCATGTTTCAGTTGTCACCGTCGAAGTTAGGGTTTGTCGATATGCTGAAGGCCTTTTGATAGTGTCCGGCGAATGCGTCAGCCTTCCCTTTGTCTGTGTAACGTCCTATTCCGTTTTCGTCAACTTTGTCAGTAGTGTTAGTTTTCTTGTATTGTGCTAATTTCTTGATTTTTTGCCAATATGTTTTGCCCTTGCCTTTTTCTATTTCTTTACATGTTTCTAACCATTTGTCTTGTCGGTATTGTCCAATCAGAGTTTTAATGTTCCTTTTGAGTTGGTTTAGTGTCTTTTTTACGTCGTTATTTTGGGTGTAAGTGTATAGTCTGTAAAGTTCTCTCTTATGTTTTGTGAGTCCCAATATGAATTTGGGTAGAGTGTGTCAGTAGGAAACATTTTTTATTTCCGGGCTAAATTTTCTTATGGCTAGTGAAAGTTGTTCTTGTATCGTTTCTATTGAAATGGGCTGTACTTGCGATTGAATATAGTCATGTATATGTTGTTTCACTTTGTCTATGTCAGTCTTTGTTAGGTTTCACTTTTTCTCTATAGGAGGTGTACTGATGGTAGGTTGCGTATGTTTTAAATCTATGTTAAACGTTATAGCCAGATGGTCCGATCCTAGTTCGTTACTTAAGCTTATATTATTAATGGTGCTTGTTAAGTTTGTTGTATGCAGTAAAACGTCTGGTGTGGAGTCTGGGTTTCCGGCCATCAGAAAAGTTGGTGGGGTGTGCCGTTTTATAAAGTCGAAGTCGTCCAGTTGGTCGAATGGTTCTGTCAGGGAGCTTCTATCGAGTGAGAGCATATCTATCATTAATATGTACATGTGGTTTCCGAAGAAAACCACAGAGGTGTCAACATCAAAGTCGTCGATAAATCGTTTGCGCAGTTATTTTATTAGCTCTTCTCTATTGGTGTTGCTTGCGTTATTTATTTGGTGTTTGTACTTGGTGATAATGTAATCGTGTGTAAGGCGGCATGCTCGTCCGAGTTGCACGAGACGCACATGGCTGGAAGGGGTGACGTACAGGCAGAAGTTGGGTGATTTCCCTGGCATTTGTTGCATGTTAAGGGTTTCTTGCACTCCTCCATGCGGTGATCAGACGCGCCGCACTTCCCACACGGCACTGAAACTGGTGTTGGTGCTTTACTTTCCACTATTCGGAAAACACGGCCAAGAAAATGCAAGGCTCTATCAGCAATTAATCGCTCGTAGGTC